GGGCGGGAAGGGTTGATAAACACTCCAGATTCCTCTGGCCAGGGTAACGGAGGCATCCTCCATCCAGCCTTTCCGATTTCCCCAGGCACTTAGCTCCAGCTGCCTGCAGTGCTAAAGGGCTGATCCTGAACCCCGAATGTTCTCTCTCTGTATAGCTCTCCCCTCTCCAAGATTTTGCTTCATCAGCACCGGCCAGCCTGTACTCCCCAGACTCATGCTCTTTCTGTGCCACTCCAGTGCCCTCCCTGGGCTGTGGCCTGAAAATTCTCCACAGGCAGTAAGCTGGGGTGGCCACGGGACTCACCTCATCATTCCCCTATTTGAAAATAAATAAAGACCCCCCAAACGAGAACAACCAATCTCCTGCCTGGAGGCTGTTGGTGCAGAGAAGCTGAAGAAAGGCTAACCAGAATTGGGGTATTGGTTAGGGGTATACAATTTGGCTTTCTCTGGTTGGTTTTAAGTTGGAGGTGGGGACAAAAATCAGGGAAGCTGTCATTTATTACTCCAGTCTTGGCCATTTGGGGCTGATAGTTACAGGGGTTATTGTTTGGCTTCCTGGACAGTTTGCCAAACAATAGAGGTCTCACTTCCTGGGGGCTGGTTACTGCACATAGTAGGTTGGCCTCCTGGGCCCGTGGTCTCACTTCCTGGGCTGGTTACTGCACATAGTAGGTTGGCCTCCTTGGCTGGTGGTCTCACTTCCTGGGGGCTGGTTACTGCACATAGTAGGTTGGCCTGGGCCAGCGGTCTCACTTCCTGGGGGCTGGTTACTGCACATAGTAGGTTGGCCTGGGCCGGTGGCTGCAGGTTGTGGGTCAGAGTTCGATTTTTATGTGTAGCCTGGCCGTGGTCTGATTGTGTAGTCAGTCTCACTCCTAGTGCTGCCTCTTGGGCACTGTTTGAAAACTGCCATTTCAAATGCTTTGCTCAGTGTTAGGTTTTGGTTTGTTTGTTTGCTTTGGTGGGAGTGTAAGCTCCAGCGCTGCTACTCCACCTTGGCTGGACGCAGCAGCCTGAGCCTCCCGGGGTGAACTTGGGGTTGGCCACCACCCCGTAATCTCCGTTTGGTTTGCCTCCATGGTCTCCCCCACTTCCTCAGCTCCTAGACTTCAACCTTGGCAACCCCTCCACTAGTCTTCGTCGCTGGCACATGGCAGCCGGACACGCCTTACTCCGAATCTCTGGCTGGGCCCCGTCTTAAGGAGAGAAGAGCTCCCGCAGGCAGCACGCGGAGCCTCCACCAGCCCCCCGAGCTCCCCACCGCCCTGCCCGGGGCGTGCCTGGGTCCCGGGCCCTGCGCTTGCCCGGGACCGCCGCAGGGCGCCCAGTGCTTTGCTAGGTCATCTCCTAGGCCCGTGTTTGTGTGAGATAAGATGCTCGAGGCACAATTTAACAAACAGAAACCTCAATCAGAATGAAGTGGGGAGGCCAGGAAGGGAGCTCTCGCACCCGCTGTTGATCACGGGGCCCAAGAGGAAGAGCTTGGTAATAGCTCCCAGCTCCCTCTCCTCTTTTTTGTTTCTGGGACTTGCGAGTGGTTCGCCATTAGGCTGCAGATCCAAAACTGCAATTCTTTGTTGTTCCCTAATAAACCCAGTCTTACTGGAGAAATCTCTGTCTCTTTGTTAAAGGCCAGTACCCACAACCCCTCGTCTTGGTGAGCAGAGCCCTCTGCCCAACATCAGACACCCCCTCCCCATTCTGTATTTCAGGTAGTCCCGAAGGCCTTGCTTTCACACGCACTCCCTTTAAGACCATTCAATCCACTAGAATCTCTGAAACACCCCAAAACATTACTTAGAGAATCCATGCCTTTTATTTTTTTTTACATTCACCAGTATAATAGATGGTCATTTTAGCTGCATATGAAGTTCTTCGTCTTGTCCATTTTCTGCTTTCTGTGTTTGTTCAGAATGCCCTGCCCCGTGGCAGGTTGTTTTAGGGGAATTATCTGCAGAACCTAGGAAAATGTCTGTTTCCCTGGTATACAATAATGTGTTACAGTTAGTTATTAGATTTGAAAAGTGTTGTTAGCTTTTTGATGAAGATATAAGAGTGTGTATATATATACATATGTGTGTATGCACATATATACAGAGAAATAAGTGTACAGTTTATTGAATATTTACTGATTGGACACACTTATGTATCCAACATCAGATCAAGAAACACAAAAATGCCATTGAACTGTATTTATATTTTATTTGGCTGTATCTGCTCTGAAACTGATGGTAAGCTCTATGACTGCATCTCTATTGTCTTCAGGGTTATATCAGAGTGTCCAACACACACGAGGGGACTAATTTGTTGAAATTTGTTGACTGATATTGAGGAGAAGGAGCCATGCTCTAACTGGCAAGAAACTGAGCCACATCTGTAAAAAATGAAATTCCTTTTTCCTTGGCTGTTACTAATATATTTCTCCCATGTATGTTAATACACAACAGAGCTCAGTAAAATTACTGTTATTGAAAGTAAATTCAAATAACAATTAGAAAAACAAAACAAACTCTCTATTGTACCTGTGGACAAATCTGCCGTGGCTCCTCGCACTCTGGCAAATGTTGGCAATGAAAATGGCTTAGAGTAAGGATGTGTGAGGAGCTGTGTGTGTTTGCGAAGGCAAATGCAATTGGGGGGAAGATATGCACTAAACTTGGCAAATCCACTATTGTCTGGCAAGCCAAGTGACAATAAAGATCTTATCCCACTCCTCTTGGGCTAAAAGGTGAATCATACAGTTCAAGGCAGGAGTAGGGGGCAGTTGGAGCCCCAGTTCTGTGCTGAGTCCAGAGTTTTATCCGTGGTGAATGCGGCTCCTCCTCTCGAAGCGCGTCATCTTGTGTTTATCTTTGAAAGACATGAAGGTGGAGAGACCTGTGGCCTCGGTTTGCTCATCTGCACACTTGGAACACTGTGTTGGGTGTATGTTATTTCAAGTCCTGGACACTCACCAAGATAATCAGGGGATGGCCCCAAGGCCCTGAGCAGAGAAGAACAGACACGAACCGGCCCAGCCTTCCCAGCACCACCTTGCTGCCGGGGCAGCTGCGGCATTGTTTTTCCTGTCATGAAGGCCATCTTTGTTTACGCTCTCAGGAGGGAGAACTCAGGACCTAGTTTATCTTGTGAAGGAAATGGGGACAGCTGGTATAGGTGAAAAAAGCGACACCCCTTTTCTAACTAAAGAGATGTGGTGGAGGGCTCCAGTGGGCCACCCCGCTAGATGTGCGGGTGGGTAGAGGCGGGGCTGAGTGGGTGGAAGAGAACGCACTGTGGTGTGAGCAGGAGTTGCACTGTGTGTGAATTGTTCCAGATCCTTCGAGCTCCCTGCCAGGGCATTGAAATCCTTGGCTCATTGTGGAATTTGGATCTGGAACAATTTGCTCTAAAGGGGGTTTGGCATACATAAGTCATTATTATTAATAAACACTTGGTGAATGCCAACCATATGCCTGATGCTGAAATCCCCCCCCCCCTTTTTTTTTCTTTTTCTTTTAGTCTTAGTTACCAAGTAAAGGAGAATGCAACTTGGCCCCTTCTCATCCCAGAAGAGGCGATTTCATAGTCCTCCTGGCCCTACACTTACATCTTTGAACCCCTGGGTGCATTTTCCCAGAGTCTTTTCTATTTCAAGAATACATTTCAGAACATCATAGCTGGCGACTTGAAACTTTGCATCCCTTTCATTATCGAAAGAATAGATTTCTGAGAGGAATGTAAGTGCCTTCTGACTTAGCCTTCAGTCCAACCTGCTCTTATAGGGTGACTCATTTCACACTGGCTGGGTTTAAAGCTATGTGGCACCGAGTGGGGCTGCTTCTAAATGACTGATCTTGAATTACACAGCTGAATCTATAAAAATATGTAGTAGGATGAGCTGTGTTTATTTCCCAGCAGGAACCTGTGTTTAGGAGAATTGGCACCAAAACGAGATACTTCCCCCCTAAAGAAGATTGGGAAAGGGCTGGAGAGAGAATCAAAGGAGCACCTCAAACCTCGAGGAGAAGCAGCCACTTCCGGTGTCTTCATGATGACTTTCAACTCAGAATCTACAAGCACTTTATAAACATGTTCAAAGAAGACTTCACTGACGATTTACAGTAAAGAGACTAGGGGAAAGCAGAAATTCAAGCAAAGGAAAGCTCGCTGCTTCCTTTTTAGTAGAGTTTTGGGGACTCTGGCCTCAAGGTACCCCCATTTCTCTTACTGCCTCTGACATGCCAGGTTCTTCTCTAACCACTGGCTGCATAAATTGCCCTTATTGATATAATTTGAGAAGTCAGGCTCAGAGCTCCCACACCTTCCAGATCCCTTCCTGGCTTGCCCAGCAAGGTGCTTGGAAGCTTACCACTGAAGAATAAGCTACTTATTCATTTATTTGTTCAACAAATTCTTATTCTGTGCCTGTTACGTATCAGAACAGAGTTTCTTCCTTGGTATGAGTCTCTGGTACTTCCCATCTCCCAAGATCGTGGCCAACAACACTAATAATCATTCTGCTGTTTCTTGAAGAACCAAGATCACCCCTTCAGTTTGTTTACATCACTCTCTCACTTAAAATTCTTCAGTGGCTCCCCTCTTTGTAAGATGAAGATCGAAGTCTTTAAAATGGTTCCCAAAGCCCTATGGGATCTGACCCCGTTTTCTCTCCAGTCTCTCCTTAGACCAGACTCATCTTTACTCTCTGTCCCCTGACTACATTATCTTTCTTCCAGCTCCCCCAAAGTCCCATAGTCCCTTTGGCTTTAAGATCTTTGAACTTGCTGTCCCTCTGACTAGAATAGTCCCTGATGGTCCCAACATACTCTCTTTACCTAGTTATCTCCTATTTATCCTTGAAATATCAGCTCAGATGCCACTTCCTCAGGAACCTTCCCTTGATCAGTTCTGTGCCTAGTCTAGGTCAACTACGCCTACTCCTCACCTTCCTGGGACATGGTCTACTCTTCCCAGTCCTGGTTATGGTTTCCAATTAGAGTCATCTGTGCTATTAACATGTCTCCTCCGACAGACCTTCCTCTCCTATTGCCTAGTCATATTATCCTGGAGTAAAGGTTGATACCTGATTCTTGGTAGGTACTCAACTAAAATTTATTAAATAAATGAGTATGAGCAGACACATGAAATAAAACGTGTTCTTTACTGTTTTCCAGGCTGAGTATTAGAACTAAAAGGAGAAATATAGTAGAAAAAGCATGAACTTTGGAGTCAAACAAGGAAAGGGACAATGCCAATTCTTCTCCCCATGTGACCCTGGTAAGGTGCTTGGTAGCTATCATTTATAGAGTGAGTGCCCTTTCCAGGAACTAGGCTAGGTATTTTATATATACTCTCTCATTTAACCCTCACAACAATACTACAGTTTGATATTGTTGTCTTTATCTTATAGATAAGCAGATTGTGAGATTAAGAGATCAATCACGAGCTGTGCCAGAGACAGGAGTCAGATTCATGTCTGTCTAGTGACAACTCCTTGAACACTCCCTGTATTGTTTAACGTCTGCAAGCTTTGGGCCTTCTCATTCTGTGGTGAGACAATCATTTGTAAGTAACTCTACCACAAGAGCTCATGTCTCATAACCTTCTCTTCCTATTGTTAAGACTCTTTGCCCAATTTGCCACTCTCAGGTAAATCCCTGTGCTCAGTTGACTGCTAGTGGCAAAATCTTCCTAGGGTGCATTCCTAGGGTGGGATTGCAAATTTGTCAAAGTCACAATTCCCATCAGTTTCAGTTAGCCTTTACTGTACTAAAAAGCACCCCCAAAATGAAGTGGCTTAAAATAACAGCTATTTACTATTTCTCACAATTCTGTGGGTTGCCTGGGTGGCTTCTCAGCCTTGTGTCACCTGGATTCACTCATGTGTCTCTGTTCAGCTGGAGGGTTGGATGAGCTGGAAGGTCCAAGGTGACCTCACTCAGGTGTCTGGTAGTCAGTGCTGGCCGCAGGCTGAGGTGTCTTAGCTGTCATCCTCAGGCTTCCTCACATGGCCCTCTCAGTGCATGCCAAAGGGGAGACAGAAGTGTAGGGCTTCTTGATGCCCAGTCCTGCGAGTCTCATGGCATCACTTCTGCCACATTCTGCTGACCAGGGCCAGTAACAAGACAGTCCAAATTGGAGGGAAATAGGAAAATAGCTACCCCTTCTTGAAGAGAGAAGTGTCAGTCTCATTGCAAAGGAGAGTGGGAGAAATTATTGTGAACATCTTTGAAAAAAACAAAACAAAACACAGCACAACATATGATGGGATATGACACGGTGACTAAAAATAATATTCACAAACATTTGCCATCAATACAAGAAAAAAGCCTTATGAAAAATAGGGGGAAAATAATATGTACTATCATCACAGCAATGTGTAGGAGCAAACAAGCCATGCAGAGACTGAAATGCAAAATGAAAGAAAAGACAACACAAATGAAGAACTTGGAGTGTGACCTTCAAGTCACCTCCAGGATTTACAGCACCAGGCAAACATCCAGAGCAGAGCTGGTGTGGACACCTCCCTTTGGAGACCGACTTGGGGGATGGCATGCTGACGGATGTGGGGTCCCTTTCATGCTCTTCCCAGTGGGGTCTGTCCTGGGTCAGTAGGGCTGGGCCTGCTATCTTCACCTTTCCTTATTTCCCCGCCTCCTCCCAGGTCCTCTCTCATCTTTCCAGCCTGCATCCTGCAGCCTGACCAGAGAAGTCAAGGACCACAGGATGGTGAGGGATGCTGCCCAGAAAGGAGGATTCCCAACTGCAGCATCGCAGAGCAGTCTGCCTGAGGTTGCAGGGGAGCAGCTGGAAGCAGAGACCCCTTGGTGTCCCAGAGCCCAGGCTGGAGAGAATGAGCCTGGAGCAGAGGAGCTGTTCACCCGCAGCTGGGAGAGGCTTCTTCCTTGGAAGGAAACTCAGATCTCAGTTTAATAAAAGGGCACTAGTGCCTTTAGGCTCTCTGGGGGCGCTTGTTCTTTAATGAAATGAAGGCCTTCTTTAAGGCCTCTCCTTTTCTGTAGACTCTTAAGGCTTTAGAACTTCAAAGCAGGCTAGCCTCACAGTGCTCTCATAGTGCCCCGCCCAAGGGCCCTGCCCCCCAGGAGGCTCTGTGTTTAACCAGAAGTTTTTACTGAATGTAGGACTTAAAAAAAAAAACAACTTTTATCTTAGCTTTAATAATTTGTAAATTTGATATTCCATTTTTTATAAATCTGATTGCTTTAGTGAAACAATAGTTCTGTTTCTACTAAATAATGACTTTTCAGGAAAAATAAAAAGACATAGCCTTTTGTGTCTTCACCTGTCCCTGAGCTTGAGTATCTGAGAGTGAGAAATACAGACATAGCAGAATCGCTCATTTCACAAGTGAGAGACCGAGGCCCCAAGGTTGAGTGACCACTCAGTCACGGACGGAGTGGCCTGGTGACTCTGGCTGGACGCCCCCTCCCCCCTCCAGACATTAGTGCTGGAGGTCCCGCTCAGCCTCAGACTGGAGTTTGGTTGAGAGAAAGGAGACGAGTAGTAATATCTTCCAGATGTCAAGAAGATGACGTTACTTCTGCAGTTTAATTGCTTGTAATAATGAAGGGGTTGAGAGAAGCAGGGAGTAATTAAAGCTTCTGAGTAAAGCAGAAGTTCAGGTTTAGCAAGTTAATGATATTGGCAAGTGCAGAGGACAGGGAACCCCAAAGCCGCAGCTACCCTCTCTCTTTGAGACGACTATGGCTATGGTGACTGTTTTTTATAAACCCGAAACACGGCCTGACAAAGGAATCAAAAACATGCTTTAAAAAAAAACACCACTTTTGACTTAGGAATTTATTTTTTATAAGCCTTAACAAAGGAATAAAAATAAATCTATATACTTATACATACAAAGCGGCCTTTGGAAAAGAATAAAAGCACCTATAATTGGGACTTTCCCAGAAAATCTGCCTTATAAATATGCCTCAAGAGAGAAAAATGATTTTTGTTTCTGTGTTGTATCCATGAGTTTGTGGTTTTAGAAGTTTCATTTCGCTGCATACTCACTTCCTCGATCAGATCCCTGAACTCCTGTGGGTCAATTCCCATGTCCTTAAAATGATCAACTTATAAAAACTGCTATGGACCTCTAACGTTTGGAAATGCTATGAATCTATACCTGCCCCTAGCATTTCTTTTCAAATGTACCTTTTGTAGTTTATCTAACAAATTACTTTAGCGGTTGGTAGAAGAGAAGCTGGAGGGACAAACGGCCACTCGCTATGGCCCCTGAGACAATGATCCTCGGGTGGCGGCCGGGCCTCAGGCTTTCCCGCTCGGGGCTGGATGCTCAGCAGCGACAGGGGGTGGCAAATGGCAGGCACCCAAAGGTTACTGAATGAATGATTGAGTCCTTACCTGTTGTTACTATGTCTGTTCATTCAGAATATGGCTTTTTTTCTGGAAGTACATATATCGTTTTGTTTAAATACTTTGTAAAGCTTTCAAACTAGAACAAAGGGATCACCTTTATAAGCTCACAATTTACATACAAACTAACACAAATTGATATTCATTTTCATATAAAGCGATGGAAGAAAATAGGGAATGTATTTTGTGAAATCTTTATATGTAGCTAACTGAAATATTTTTAACAGTTTTATTGATATATAATTCACACACCATAAAGTCCACCCAATTAAAGTGCACAATTCAATGGTTTTTAATAAATTTACGGAGTTGCTCAATCATCACAATAATTTTAGAACATTTTTATCACCCTAACAAGAGACTTTCTACCTATTAACAGTCCCTTCCCAGCCACTCTCACTTCGCCTGCCCACTCCCCAGTCCTAGGCAACCACTAATCTACTTTTTTCCCCTATAAATTTGCCTATTCTGGACATTTTACATAAAGTAGAAAAAAACGTATTGTAGCATAACCCCAACTATGACATATTCAATTTATCGTTACGGATATGCATATGCATGTTCATATATGTCTCCAAAGTGAAAGAAGCACACCTAAATATTAAAGTCGACTGTCTTCAAGCATTTAAACATATCATTATTTTCCAACTTTCTGCACTAACATGTTAGTTCTCTATCGAAACTTGTTTTGTTTTAAGTTTTTAGAACATTTAGATCATATTGATGATGCCAAGAAATGATTATAAAGGGTACATCTAATCTCCCTTTTTTGAAGTAATGAAGTATTAGCCTTAGGTTGAAATGTTTCTACTTAATAAAGAACATTTCTTTTTTCAAGTTTAGCAGCTTTGCCTTTGTCGTACTTTTTTTTTCCAATCCTTTATTAATAATTTTATTTCAGCTTATATATGATACAGTTTGTAAAGGGCTGTAAAATCTTTTCTTGAACGAAACCCACTTTAAACATATAGGTAAGTAATATAAAAGATCAATGACTGTAATACAGATGCATTAGCTAGCGGTGGGTGGAGAGGGAGATCATTAGGAACTGAGACCTGTGGTTAAATACATCAGCTTGCCTGTTCAGATTTACTTACAAAGAGAAACACTGACTGTTTTAGAGTCTCTGCCTTCTTTTTTTGTTCCCTTGAGGAGTCCCTTACAAGTCAGGAAATATTTCAAACTTAGGAACTAGACAAATGATATCAGAAGTATGCATAGCATTTATTAAAAATGTGAGATGAACTGAATCAAAAGTTCAAGAGGCAACCTCTGGGAGTTTATCTTGAGCTCTTCCCCCCAGGTGCTTCTAGTGTGCACAGAAGAGCAGAGGTGAGAGGCCAGGGGCACTACAGACGGAGAGACACATGGCCACAGGCCACTTCCCCACAGGACCCTCCTTTTCTGGAGAAGGCACAGGTTGACCAAGTGGCTGCAATTTGGCAATCTTGAGTTTCTAGATCGCTGTCAGGAAAAGCTGCCTGACCCTTAGCCAGAACTCCGCCCTATAATCCTGCCTTCCCTCCTGCCCCCACCACAAGCTCAGACCCCAAAGATTTGGGGGGCCCCAGGGACTGAGATTTTATCAACATGGATAAACACAAACATGTGTAAAAACCTAGTGGCCTCACCATGAGACCGCAAACCTACTTTATCGTGCTTTTCCTACCCTTGGCTGTGCTGAGGCCGGATCCGCTTTCTACCCGAGGTTTACTTTTCCAGGATGGCCTCCCTGAGCTCCAGCCTGGCTCTACCCTGGGTCATTCTGGGGCCTTTCTCACCAGGAACACAGCTTCAAGGGCTTAACTTGTCTCAGGCTTGGTCTTGGAGAGAAATATTTTATTCCCAGGTGCAAATGCAGAAAACAGGTAAACATAAGTTGCTTATTAAAGGGAAAACTGTGAACTTGGACATTCCTTAAAATATGATTTATATTTCAGTGTCAGTTTCTTGTAACATTATGGTTAAAGGGGGAAATAACTTGAACTGGAATTGATAATTTGGTAACGTCTACCCTGCTTTTAGGTTTGTGCACCCAGGAAAAAAACAATTGCTTCTTTATCAAGAGAAAGAAATCTAAAGGCAGTCTCAGATTGCAAATTCGTGAGTGAGGTGTGTGTGTGCAG